GCAGTAACATCTTAAATTGACATAGTTAGAAAGTTTTGGGAATAATTAAAATATTGTTAATTTCCTTACATCTTTGCTAATATCTTATTTGATTACAATACTAGGAATCATGGCCTAGCCAGATTGATACATATATTTTGGGGGGACACAATTTAATTCTTAACAGTCATCAACAAAACAATGACACTGCATGTTTTCTACACATTTGATTACTGTAGAGTAAGGTCAATTTTGATATCCTTTTGTCTAATAATTATTGCTGTTAGATTAAAGATCTGACAAAAAGGTCGTAGTAGAAGTTGGCTAGAAATACTTCTGTAAGATCACCACAATTGAGTACTTGCCCTTAGTTTTGCCTTTCCAGGAACGTGATTTTATTAGCACAGCCAGAAGTAAGCAAATTCAGATATTATGATAGGCACCATCAATATATTAATTTATCATGGAAGTACATGAATTTATAATGAGAACTAGAACTGCCAAAAAAGACTAAAGTCTCTTGGTCTCTGTTCTTAGGTTATTTTCTATAGGTTGCATAAGTTTAAGGACCGAGCAAGGAGAGGTAGTTAGGTGTAGGATGTTAATGAGTTTTTTCATCCACCTGTGATAGCATGATGCATATATCTCTGTTGTTGTTGTTAGTTGCCACCGAGTAGCTCAGACTCATGGCTACCTTACATATAACAGAATGAAATGTTTCCTGGTCCTGTGCCGTCTTCATGATGATTGGTATGCTTGAGCCCATTATTGTGGCTTTGTGTCAATCCATCTCATTGAGGGTTTCCCTCTTTTTTGCTGATCCTCTACCCATCATGATACCCTTTTCTGGCGACTGATCCTTACTGATAAAGTGTCCAAAGTAAGTGCGCTGAGGTATTTCCATCCTCACTTCTAAGAAACATTCAGGTTGTATTTCTTCAAAGACTGATTTATATATCTCTATTAAAGAGAAATTCCATCTCGGATATAACGACCTTATGCTGGTTTGTTTCAACACTTAGGCTTCTCTCCTGACACCAGCTAATGATTCTGTACTCTGGTTGTACCTTAGAATTACCTGTGGAGCTTGTTCAAAATACAGATACCAAGGCCTGGTCATGCTTACTATGCTCTTAAAATTTGCCTTTAAAATTAATATGTGTTATTTCTACCATAGAGGCTTCTTCATGTCCAGCCCATGTTTTTGTTTTTTTTTTGCACACCTTTTTTTATTTTAAACCATGCAGTAACCCCTTGTTCCATTTGAACAACTGCCTCTTGGCCTATGTACAGGTTCTGCATGAGCACAGTTAAGTGTTCTGGAATGCCTATTCTTTGCAATGTTATTCATAATTTGTTATGATCCATGCAGTCAAATGCCTTTGCATGGTCAATAAAACACAGGTAAACATCTTTCTGGTATTCTCTGCTTTCAGCCATGATCCATCTGACATCAGCAATGATATCCCTCATTCCACATCCTCTTCTGAATCCAGCTTGAATTTCTGGCAGTTCCCTGTGGATGTACTGCTGCAACTGTTTTTGAATGATCTTCAGCAAAATTTACTTGCATGTGATATTAATGATATTGTTCAATAATTTCCGCATTCCTTTTGATCACCTTTCTTTGGAACAGGCAAAAATATTGGTCTCTTCCAGTCAGTTGGCCAATTAGCTGCCTTCAAAATTTCTTAACATAGATGAGTGAGCACTTCCAATGGTGAATCGGTTTATTGAAACATTTCAATTGGTATTCCGTGAATTCCTGGAACTTTGTTTTTCGCCAGTGCCTTCAGGGCAGCTTGGACTTCTTCCTTCAGTACCATTGGTTCTTGATCATATGCTACCTCCTAATATGGTTGAATATTGACCAATTCTTTTTGTCATTCAAAATACAGATATCAAGGCCTGGTCATGCTTACTATGCTCTTAAAAATTGCCTTTAAAATTAATATGTGTTATTTCTACCATAAAGTCTTCTTCATGTCCAGCCCACGTTTTTTTTTGCACACTTGTGTAGCCTTACATCTTCTTATGATGCTTCCTGTGTCGTTCAATATTTTGCCCATAGAATCCTTCAATACTGAAACTTGAGGTTTGAATTTCTTTCTTCAGCTCTTTCAGCTGAGAAATGCTGAACATGTTCTTCCCTTTTGGTTTTCTAAGTCCAGGTTTACACATTTCATTATGATACTTTACTTTGTCTTCTTGAACTACCCTTTTTTTTTAAAATTGTACTTTAGATGAAGGTTTACAGAACAAATAGTTTCTCATTAAACAGTTAGTACATATATTGTTTTATGACAATGGTTAACAACACCACAACAAGTCAACACTCTCCCTTTTCAACCTTGGGTTCCCAATTACTAGCTTTCCTGTCCCCTCCTGCTTCTAGTCCTTGTCCCTGGACTGTTGGGCCCCATTAGTCTTGTTTTGTTTTATGGTGCTGTCGGATCTTTGGCTGGATGGTGAACCTCGGGAGTGACTTCACCACTGAGCTAAAAGGGTGTCTGGGGGCCATACTGTCAGGGTTTCTCCAGTCTGTAAGCCAGTAAGTCTGGTCTGTTTTTTGTGAGTTAGAATTTTGTTCTACATTTTTCTCCAGCTCTGTCCAGGACCCTCTGTTGCGATCCCAGTCAGAGTAGTCAGTGGTAGTAGCAGGGCACCATCTAGCTGTACTGGACTCAGTCTGGTACAGGCCATGGTAGTTTTGGTCCATTAGTCCTTTGGGCTAATCTTTGCCTTGTATCTTGTTTTCTTCATTCTCCCTTGTTGCCAAAGGGGTGAGACCAGTGGAGTCCAGCCCACGTTTTTATCTTCCTTATGTCCCAGCTGGAGAAAAATCCCTCTTTCTCTTACTCTTGTTTTCCCCTTGAAACTCTTCCCTTTCATATTCTGATTGTGCAGACCACAGCCTCCCTTAAAATTGTGTCCTCTATTTTGATGTTTGCTTCATAAGCTCCTGACCAATACCTTTAATGGATCTTGCTTCATGGAAACACAAAAACCTGCAGTTCTTTACTCTTTTTACCATTCACCTGAAAAATGAACATAGTCACCACTGTGGAGTGGCGATAAAAAAATAATTAATTTATCGAAATGTTTATACCACTGGAGAATTCTGATTTATATTTTAATTTATTAATCTTTTCAAAAACACTTAAGTAGTCTAAGTGCCAGGCACTGTTCCAGGCCCTGAAGATATAATGAGGAATGAGACGAACTTCAAAATAACATGTATTTCAATATGTAAATGCTCGGACACCACTACCAAGAGTATATATTGAAGTGGTAAGATGCTTGCACCTACTTATAGCGAATATATTTTAATAAGAAAAGGAAGGCAATCTTTGACAATTGAATATTTGTAACACTTTTTCATAATATTTGACATTTTAAATAAGGGCTGAGTAAGTATATTTTATGTAAACTTGTAACTGTGAATATCCTTGTTCTCTTGAAGTTTATAAACTAGCGGATGGAAAACATACAGTCTCAGAATCCAGTCTTATGGAGAAGGTATGCCTAAATTAAAAATCTCATTTTGTTTAAAGCCTATTTTACCTGTTCTTTTGATAAGGTTAGGTTCACTCTCCAGAGCCTTTAACTTACTGGAGATACCACCTTTGATCTCTTAAGAAGAACTTGATGTTGTTTACTAACGTTTGTAATCTTCCAACCATGAAAACTGGGGTGGAATATATTTCTCCTCCACAATGCAAATTATAGAGTCACTCTTCTAAATACAATGAGTAAGAGATAAGCCATTTTTTTCCTCTCTTTACAAATATGATAGTTCATAGACATTAAGGTCTTCATGTCTCAGATATATGAAAAAGATCTATCTTAGGGAAAGAAAGAAAAGAAGAATTTGGATAAAATATATGATGTCATTGCATACCCTAAACTGTATGATTTTGGTCAATAAGAAGGTGACTGGTAGCTCTTGGCCCTGGGTCTTTATTGTAGATCAATCAATTGTTTGATAAATTAGGACCTTAGTTATGAGTCTAAAGATGGGAATAAGGAATGAGGAGAAGTCTAACAGATTCAATTGTGGTAAAATGTGCCAAAGGCAATAGACACTCTTTCTACCTTATTCAATTTTCATTAAGTTATAGGGAATAATAGTAAAAAGATGTTATGTTTGAAAGGCAAAAGGAGGAAAATTGTTACTTGAACTAGACATACAGATTTTTTTTTATTGTTATGAAGGGTATTCAGCCTTTTCATGAAGTCGTATTCTCAGATGAAGCCACATCTACTGAAAAGTGAGGAAAGGAATTGTGAATAATTATGACAATGCAGAAAAGTGAGGAACTGTTTGTAGTTTTGTGAACAGTGATGTCTAAGCTACACAAAGATGGGAACAATGACAAAAGTAACACTGGAGAATTGAAACATATTTTAGGGAGTTTGTTATTCTGAATGTATAAAGAATTTATCCTGAGATGCCACCTATTAGAATCTATTCTTTCATGGCCCCGTAAAGGTTGTGTTGTGTGGAAAGAACAGGACAGGTGAAGTATCTACAAATACAGCACTAGAAAGATGAATTGACTTGAGTTCCTTCTGTGTCAAATTGTGTCACAGAGAAAGAAAATTCAATCCCAGAATCCCCACAAAAACATACACAGAGCTACTTCACCAGGCCAATGCACTTTATTATTTCTTCTGAACTAAACCGTCAGATAAACACATCTTTGGAACACACATCAGATAACTGTTTCTTCTTCCTCTGCCATTGTATCACTGCAGGGATTTATACTCGTAACACACGCAAAAGTCTGTGACCTATGTGAAACCACACCTTGGAGCACCATCTGTAAACCCAGCCCAAGTTGCCTTTGGGTAGTGCTTAGGGGAGGGAAAGTGGCTGATTAAAATGAAAAGGATTAAAATGACCATTATCTATTTTGATCTATAGAGATCAGTACACAAAGGTTTAAATCATCCTTCCCTAACTGGTTGTCTCTGCTAGAATGGTGGAAGGAAGACACTTTCCTGGTGGATGTGGCTTTTTAATAGCTATATGGCATTGATATATCATTTATGCTAACAGGAACAAGTTCTCGGATTTCATTTTTCCACTTACAAGTGATAAAGGCAAGTCTTCTCCTATAAAATGATTCATATTCACAGTCTGGTAATTTGGTTCCTCTTTTTAATTTACAATACAGACCTTTCATCACTTTCTTGCTCCTGTTACATTTTCTAATGCCATTCTTACATTTTATAAATGAGTTGTAACAGATCTTTCTTATCTCCTCATATACCTTTTGGAGGAAATAGTGTTCTTCCACACGACGAAGCTTATTGTGAATATTTTTAAACTTGATTGCATGGTTACAGTATTCAGTATCACCTAAATGTATTTGTTTTCCAGGTACAATAATCATTTTCCTTTTGAATTTTTCTTTGGTAGTTTCTGTGGTAGATCCTGTACCATAAAACTCTTCCAAATAATCCTCAAAATCTTCTTTCAAATGATTTGGTAAATGGAATGAATTTGATGTCATTTGGAACTGCACTGGTTGGAACAGAAGTAGTAGCAGAGGCAGTGGGTACATGATGACAGAAGTCTGCCACATTTTCTTGTGGGGGAATAAAAGAGATAAGGATATCTGGTCTATGGTGAAAAGCTACCTGCTTCTATTTCCTGTGCAGAGCCCATTTCCACCACCTAATTCTGTTCTAAACTTTAAGAGTTCAGAAATTTAAATATAACCTCAATTGACAACTCAAAATCTATTTAAATATCTCTGAAATAGTGACAAAAAAAATGACCTAACTAGGTCTATAGTCAGTCCTGAAGACTGGGGATAAGGGAGGGAAATTTGATAGACAGAAGAGACTGAAAGGAGAGAGAGAAGAAGAGAGAGAAATAGAAAGAGAGAGAAGAGAAATAGGAAGGAGAGGGGAGGTCTAGGATGGCAGTGGGGAGAGAGGAAGGGAGGCAGAGAGAGGGTCATCTGCTCCATCCATCTGGTCCAAATGCATTAGTTCCCTTCCAGAGGACTTAAGAAGTTGCACTGACAAGAGCCATAAGGGAGCCACCATCCTCTCATAAACATGCAGATGTGATAGGAAAATTTCTCATCTTAGGACTTTCTCCTCTTGCTTTTTTTGTGGTTGGGTGCTCTGTTCATTGTAGGATGTTTAGCAGCATCTCTGACTTCTACCCACTAACCAAATCAAGACCAAATGTGTTGTCATTGAGTTGATTCTGACTCATAGTGACCCTATAGGACAGAGTAGAACTGCCCCATAGGGTTTCCAAGGAGTGGCTGGTGGATTCGAACTGCCAGCCTTTTGGTTAGCAGCCATAGCTCTCAACCACTGTGCCACCAGGGCTCCATATCTACTAAATGCCAGTAATATTCACCCCCCCGAATTTTGACAACCATAATGTCTCCAGACATTGCCAATGTCACCTGAGCGTAGGGTGGCAATCATCCCTGCTTGTGATTCACTGCCCGAGCATTCTAGTAAGATAAATTTACTTATATTTATGATTTTAAACCTCATAGGTGTAGAAATGACAGAGAGAAAGATAGAGGGAAAAAAAGAGAGAGAGAACACTTAGATCTTTTTTAAATACATGCTATTGAAATGTTTCTTAAGTTTTTGCTGGTAATCTTGTGCAACAGAATAATCAGCCTTTTCATGGAATGCAAACTTTTTCTTTGCCCCAGACCTCATGATTGAAAGTCTCTGTGACTAGGCCCAAAAATTTACTTTTTAAGCAAATTCATGAGATGATTCTTAGCACACTAAAGTTTGAGAAGCATTGTTGTAGTATATATAAAAACATACTTTTTGATAAAGAAAACATCCCAAGCAGTGGAAAAAGGATTAGGCTTTTTCAGAAAATGTTTTTGGAAAAATATTGAGATGAATCTTGGGCTCTTTGGATAGACCAATGTATATTTCAGATGGATTATTAAGTGGTACTTAAAAAGTAAACTGATTTTTAAAAAGAAAAAGAAGGTCTTAACTGATCTTAAAATGGGATAGGACTTCCTAGGTATACAATAAGAGAATAACTCGAAATTCCTACCTGAAATAATACCTTTTATGAAAAAACGTAAATTAGATAAGAGTACTTGGAAACCATTATGAAAGGAAAAAGTACACCAACATAAAGAACATGAGTATATAATTCATAGAATAAACATCAATGGACAGCAATAATATAAAATTTTAATATGCAGCCTCAGTCATAAAAAGCAAAACTAACATTATATCTTTCAAATTGCCAGTAAGTATAATACCTTACAAACTCAGTACTGGTGAGAGATGGGCATTCATGCATTTCTGATCACAACGAAATTGTTACAATGGTTTTGAGAAAAAATGTTGTTGGTAAATATAATTTTAAAAAGTTTTAAAAGGCTGATGCTTCCCCCCAGGATTGTAATATCTAGAATTTTAAGCAGAGTACATTATCAGAGGAGTTGCAATAATTTACATGAAAAAAACAGTGAGTTTTACTTAAGAGAGTCAAAATTTTGAAAACATGAATGTCCGTAACGTAGGAAAGATTAAATTGAGCCCCATATCTTCATAGCAATGACAATAATAACTACAACAGTAAGAATCAGTGAAATAATAGCTAGTATGTATTAAGGTAGTCACTATTCTAATATTTATAGATTTATCTATTCTTAGAATGAACAATTTTTGACAAATAATGAAAATAGTAAATGATATTTTAGAGCTATTGGAATATTTGGCGATATAATATTATAGTAGTAAGATTGTCTGGCTGTAAGTGAAAGAAATCCCAAACAAATAAACATGAGAGGGGCTATATTGACTCGCAGAACAAGGACATTCAAGAGGCACAGCTGGATGATAGTTAAATATTTACCAAGACTCTTGTTCTTTCTCTCTCAGCTCTGTTTTCTATGCTGACTTATGCTCATACACAGTCTCTCCATGTAATGACAGAGACAATCACTGTCACTTTTGTACCCTTATATTTAGGATCACAGAGGAATATGATAACTTCATCCAATAAGGGAAACAACTTCTGTGATTGGCTTTGCTTCTGCTACATGAATAAATCCAGGGACAGGGAGTCCTCTGATTGGCCAACCTGGACTTCATGCCATTCTTGGAGAAGTAAAGGCAAAATCACACAAGTAAACCCCAGGAAAATTCCAATTCCCCAGAGAAGGGATGTTCTCTGCCACTCAAAAAAGAAATTGAGACCAAATACAAAGCGATAAAAGTCCACTACAAATGCATGAGGAAAAACCAAGATACTAAACTGTATCTACAACATGACCCAAATCAATAGAAATATTGATTACATAAGGCGAAAGAAAAAAATAAAACAAATACCTAATAAACTGTCATTTCTGAATGATATATTTATGATTGATTTTTTAATTGTTATTTTTCATACTGTCCTTTTTCAAGTATAAAATAAGTAACTCAACGTAAGTGTCACTGAAGAAATGGATTTTTAACATCTGGATAGGGCATATTCTTAAGCACTACGTGCCAATTTCCCAGAATCTCACATTTTGGTATCACTGAACTCCCACTTTTCGTCAGAACCAGGCAAAATCAATACCTTAGTTTGAGTTGTTGAGAAAGATAGATCCTAAAAACTCAGTCCTTCGAATGTAGACTAACCTTGCTGAATAAATCCCAGAGTATCTCTTAGTTCAATTCAGTAAGAAAAATTTAAGCTTTCACCAGCTTCAAATTCATACTTCTCTCAAACATTTTGAGACGCTGTTTATGTCTCAGACCTTCACTCCCTCAACCTAAGTGAGAGAGGTGTCGGGTTGAGAAAAGCTGGAGCAAAATGTTGTTTGTGGGGAAGTAAGAGAATCAACAGGTTCATTGATAATACATGAGTTTAAAGTCAAGGTAAGGGATGAATTTAGTTCCCCCTACTTCAGAGCCCTGATGGTGTAGGGGTTAAGAGCTCATCTGCTAACCAAAAGGTCAACAGTTCAAATCCACCAGCTGCTCCTTGGAAACCCTATAGGGCAGTTCTACCTTGTCCTATAGGGTCACTCTGAGTCGAAATCGACTTGATGGCAATGGGTTTTGTTTTTTGCTTTCACTTTGGAAGCTTACCACATAAAATCCACTTAAAATCACATACCAATGTCTCTCTTAAAGTCAAGAGCGTGGACTTCAGTGAATCTTCTTCTCAGGACAGAGAAGACCCAAAGAGTTGGGGATAAGAGGGGGGGGAAGCAAAAAGAGAGATCTGTTAACTACCTAAACTTGTAGGCTGCCTGTTTAGAACAACTAGATAAAAACACTTTAGACATGGTATTAAATTAAAAAAAAAAAAAACCGGGACTTGAACTTCCAGACAAGATGGAGCAACATGGATCTGATTTACACTCCCATCTGAAAAAAAAAAAACCTTTACAAAATGCATGAAAAAATTGTTTTCAAGATACTGGACACTACTCAACAAAACACAGTGATCTTTAATAAAAGGAAACAAACACGGTGAGTTCTACAACTGCCTCAGCTTACTACTTTGAGAGAGATTTCAGGCTGCAAAGCATAGTCGGAGAACTGAGGCAGAGCCCTCAGACTTCCTGAGTTGACGGGATAAAACTGAGGGACGGGGAGGTCAAGGAAATTTGAGTCCATAGGACAGAGTATCAGGGAGGAGAGAGCTGCGTAGAGACAGCACTCTGGAGATCTGCAAATGATTCCCCTCATGTATTCAACAGAGTACTAATCATTACAAATGTATGAGTAAACTACCTGAGACTGGGGAAAGAACAATCCAAAACAATCAGAAGGAATAGTTCCTACTCCCACCAGCCAGATTGGAAAAACTCAAAATTCATGGGGCATTAGGAAGAGTACTCAGGAAGGTCTTGCCTCAGTAGTGGGAAATAATTACCCCTAACCTGAGCACTTCTCTGGACCAGCCTACCAAAACATTAAACCAAGATTCAAAAGGATTAAAGTGTTTCCAAGTAGCTTAACTGTCCCTGAACAGAACCCAGGAAAATTCACAAGAATTACAAAAATATCAGAAGGTAAACCAACAAGGTAAAATTCGCAATATCTGGCATCTAATTGAAGATTAGAAAGCATTCAAAGAAGCAGGAAAACACAAACCATAATGAGGCAAATAATCAATTAAGTTCAGATTAAAGGCACTTAAACATTACATGTAAATCACTTAAACACACCAACTGTGTTTAGTTAGCGATAGTCAGATTAGATAAAAAGGCAAGTTTCAACTATACACTGCCTACAAGAAATGCACTTTAAATATAAAAATAGAAAAAAAAGATATATATAAAAGTATATACTGTGCTGACATTTGTCAAAAGGAAGCTGGAATGGCTATCCTAATATCAGATAAAGTAGATCTCAGAGTAAAAAATATTACGAAGGCTAAAGAGGGTCATTTACAAATGGTAAAGTGGTAAATTAATTAAGAGGACAGACAACTTTAAATGTTTATACGTGTAAAAACAGGGTTTCAAAGTATGTAAGGCACTATAAGGATAAATAGGCACATCTATATTGTAGTTGGAGCTTTTGATATCCATCTGTCAATAATTGACTGTAAAATTAGGCAGAAAATCAG